TGTTTGTGGAAAGTAGGAGCAGTAGATCATAAAGTTGTGAGTGGAGGGGGAAAGTTTTAAGAGTGCAGAATGGTGCCTTGAGAAAAACCACAAATTTTGCTTTTAAGTAGAGAGGAGAGTTAGCCAAGTTAGTGTCTTAGGTCAAATCAAGAGTCAAAATTGCCAGTTAAATGGAATAATTTTCTTTCCTGTAGTATGAATTTACTTAATCAGTTTTCTCTATTGCTTAATCTGAAAATATTTAATGTCTAGTTGATAAAGTCACTAGGAAAAACATTTAAACCTAGGAAGAAGAAAAATGTTCCAAGTCTGAATAAAAGGAATCATCCTTTCTGTGGATTACCGTGAAGATTTCTATTTTAGCAGATGAAGGTACTGTGTTAGCCTAAGGATGAAGAAGTTGAATCCAGGTCTGTGATTGGATTAACACCAACAGTCTTAAAGCATTTAAAAATAATACTTGTTTTTCAGCCTTCCTGGGCACGACACTTTATATGGTTTTATCTTTATTGTGTGATGAGGCACATACTGCTTTATACAAAACTGAAATTAATAGAGCTGGATAAGCAACAAGGATATACGGTATAGCACAAGGAATAATAGCTGTTACCTTGTAATAACTTATAGTGGAGTATAATATGCAAAAATACTGAATCACTATGCTGTACACCTGAAACTAATATAGTATTGTAAATCAACTATACTTCAATTAAAAAAAGAATCTGGGACAGTATTTCCTAGGGGGTTTACTATTTAAATTAATTAGTAGTTTGTTTTTTTGAAAAAACCTTGTAAGTCACTTAAAGGCATGCCATACTGAAATGAGATTATGGCACTGAAGAACACAGACTAAAATATAAGTTTTTAAAGTGGCTCAAGCTCAATATATAAAGTTGAATAGTTCCTCAGATAACAATCTTTTTAAAAAATCAAACCCTTAAATGAAACACAAGTTATAAACATATATTGGGAAAACATATAGTGACATAAGCTAATGGGAAAATGAAAATTTACTTAACACTCTAAAATGGAAACTATGTTGATAAGTTATTTATAAAGGCATTATAAATTTAATAAATGAGAAACTTTAAGGAGTAATTAACCTAACCCTGTATTTTAATTGGAAATGAGTCAGTTGCTTGCTTTAAAAGTTCTGACCAGAGTAGTCAATGCTTTAAATTACTAATAGTGAACTGTCCCTGCCATCTGTTGGTGAAACGGTTAGGACATTTTTACTGTATTGGTATTGTTGGTTGCTACGTGTATTTGGCATATTTTCGCATGAATAAGTTAAATCACAAGGGTGTTTGACCTTGATAGACCGTGGAAAATCTGAAAATTTCTTAACACCCTTTTGTGTTTTTAATTCAGATGGGGAAAATACTGTAAGAAACTATTGTTTTTTGGCTGTTGCGTGTTAAATTTTTATGTGAGATTAAAGGGCTATTATAAGTGGATATTTCTTTCCTGAACATCTCTACAAGCCTTTATGATTATACCATCTTAAAATTAGTTGTTTTTGGGCTTCCCTGGTGGCGCAGTGGTTGCGAGTCCGCCTGCCGATGCAGGGCCCGTGAGCCATGGCCGCTGAGCCTGCGCGTCCGGAGCCTGTGCTCCGCAACGGGAGAGGCCACAACAGTGAGAGGCCCGCGTACCGCAAAAAAAAAAAAAAAAAATTGTTTTTAAGAAGTGATTATTTCACACAATTGAAAGCATAAAGATCCATATGATGGTATTAGATACCTTTAAAACAGCATTTTTAAATTTAGAAGCTGAAGGTTTTTTTCTATAATGCCTTTTAAAGAACTAAAGTGCTTATGGTCATTTCACTTCCTGCTAAATAACCCTTTGAAAGAATGAATATGTAATAGGACTAATAGGTAATCTTTATTTTACATAGGAAATCGAAATATGAAACAACTTTGTTTTCTCCATGAACTTTCTGAATGTGTTAAGCTTTCATTTGTTTTCTGAAATATTTTAGTTTTCCATTTCTTTTAATTGTTGAAGAAAATAAATCCAATAAAGAGTATCAGATAGTATTCATGGAATGTGGAGGTTGAATATATTAACTGAAGCTTATTTCTTAACCATACATACAGATACTTGTTCATCTGTTGAAGGTGAAGCTAACATCTTTAGTAGCACTTATATCATGAACTAGGTTTAAGTTCCAGGTTAATAATTTAGAATTGTGTATTAAAATGAGCTTTAAATCTGTTCATTGAGAATTTGAATATCAGATTGTAGTTAAATGGCATTTGTAAAGCAAGCCTAATTAGTCCTTTTTCTGATGTTTCCTGGTTGGGGGTGAGGTGGAGGTACTTTCTCTTTTGGAAGTGAAAGATTCTGCATTAATGGGCATTTAGAATTTATTGTATAAAGAATTTAAATGGGTAAATTGGATTTTGATATTACATTCTAGGTTAGTTATCTCAAAGGAATTATTTTCAAGCTTTATTAATCTCTATGAAAAGGCAACTTTATAATGATGGGGGAAAAATACAGTAAAAGAAGCTAATCTTTTTTAAAAATCTTGGTAACTTAGTAAACCTCTCAGTATTGTGCTTTCATAGGCAGTAGGTCTTGCTTAAAGGAGCCTTTTAAAGTGACTTGTTCGTCTTACGTTCACCATTGACCGAAGATCTAAAGGAACTTTTTGTAAATGTTCTTGCACCAGTGCTGTCTTGTCTGATTTCTCTTAATTTCTTTGTTCTAATAAAAGATTTTTAAGAACTTTGTTTCAATCAAAAGTCTGACTTAAGTTCTTTTTCAGTAATGCTACTCTCATGTCTTTGTGTGGGACTGCATTTTAAGTTGAAGCTGAGCATTTTAAGTTGAAACTCTGAGTCACAAAACTATTGTTATTCTTAAGAATTACAAGTTGTCATGGGATTTACATAGTTTGTCTTGCCCTTTTTCTTAGTTTTTCTGACATCCATTTTCTGTTTGTCTTAAGGTTATCACCTTTTACCTTTACTTCTCTTAACTTTCCTTTTTGCAGATCCACCATTTTCATATATGCTACAAAGAAAAATAATTCTGTAATGCAACAATCATTTATTTCCCTTAAAATATGATCAGTTAAAATATTTACATACGATCATAATGCCGCAGTATAATTTCCCTAAGGGAAAGAATAGTTCTTTCAAAAGACTGGCTTTTCAATAATACAGAGCTTTGCCTCTCAAATGAAGGGCAAAGCTGCAATTAATAGTAACCTCTATACATTGAATTTTTGATTTCGAAAAACCCTCTTAATGGTATTGATTTTTTTAAAAAAAAACAAAGTATACATGAAAACTTAGAGGGTCCTACCAGTGTTTACACAGTATTTCAACCGGCATTCTGTATGGCATTTAAAAGTCATATCAAACAAACCTTCATCCAATGATGTACACTTAGTCTTGTCTTTATTAATCTTAAGGCCTAAGTAGTTTACATAATGGATCTCATCTAGAACTAGTTTCTTTAGTGTCTTCTCAAATTCGTCTTTCTTGGTGTGCAAAAACATCTTCTGTACTTCCAGTCACCTCTGATAGCATTTCTATGTCTTTTTAACTTTGTTACATCTTTTTGTAAAATCTAAAGTCTTGCCTGCAACTTTTTTTTATACTTCTTCTACCACTGTTTTCATCCAGTGTTTCCTTACTTTAATCTGTCATTGGTGGAATTGGTCCCATAATAGACTTGTAACTATTGAATATTGCCTGGTTTTTACATTAATAAAGTTTAATATTTTAAACTAACAGTACTTAGGGGTATGGGTGATGAAATGTATAAAAGTTAACTGAGCAATGCCTCCTAGTAGAATTATGTAGCAAACAATTTAAGACTTATCAACCTCTGTGTGTAATTGTGATTATAAAATTGTTTCATCTAGGACATTTATTGTGTATATCGTTTAACTGGTACTTTATGAGCTCACACAAATGCTTTCCAAATTCTTATGTAACAATTTCTGAGGTGAAATAACAATATAAGAAAGAAAATGAAAATAATTTCATTATTTTCACGTCTTGGAGGAAACACATCTTGGAGGATCGCATTCAGAATTTAAATTTTCAAGGTGATTGGGCTATTCTTGTGAAAGAATCTATGTTTACAGAAATCTGTGTAAGCAAGATCTCATTTTCATTTTCACCTGTTTTGAGCTCTAGGGGTGCTGTGGCCCTGAGCATTAAGTGAATGTCGATGGCTGCTACCTTGGGGAGTTTCACTTCTTTAAATCACCTATACTTCCTGTACCTGGGTTTTTTCTTGGGAGGTCTCCTATTTCTGTACTGAGCATATTTAGTTCTCCTTACCTTTTAAGATTAGAGATGAAATAAGCAACTGCCTGATACAGGATGGACAGTAAGAAGGCAGTTAATTGTTTGGCTTAAATTTGTGCAGAAATCCTTAAACTGTAGGAAGTCACTTATTTTTCTTCACATCTGTCTTTACCTCAATTTGATTTTGCTGCATAAAGGTCTCAACTGTTGTGTTTGATCTTAGATCTTATACTAGGTACTTGACACCTAAGCTTCGTTTACTTGTGATTTTACTTGGTTCTTTCTGATAGTGTTAATAGGTCTCATTTTCTAAAACAGAATACAACTGATTCATCTTTGACTTGCTGACCTTGAATTTTTGTTTTTAGTCTTCTGGAACTTAAGCATCATACTATAGGGTGTATTTTTATTCTTCTAAAAGAAGAGACCCATCTATATTTTTATTGAAATTTTGATGTATTCAGACATCTAACCCTTCAATTGAAATGTTTTTAAATTCAGTATGAAATTCCCTTTAATAGTTAAACTTTAGCATGAAAGACTACTTTTTAAATATCTATATGCAGGCTCTGCATACATCTGAAATCTGTTTAAGTTATGTAATTCCTTGTAAGTTTGAGATCTTAAATGTTTTTTTTTTAATCAACATGATGCATAAGTTTTTTTTCTAAAAAAACGGCATCTACTTAAAGGGATTTATGACTAAAATTGCTTATTTTTCTACAGAGTTGTCTGCTGGTTCTCAGCTTGAAGAAGATTCTACAGTCCTTATTGATCCTTTTTCTTGGCGTTACCATTTTTTGAAGCAAAGTTAACCTAGTTTTCTAGTTTGAGCTTTCTTTTTGGCCATCTTCTAAAAATTTTTTTTTTAATCTATAAACTAGACAAGAGATAGTTCTACAATGTCCAAGTCATTCCAGCAGTCATCTCTCGGTAGGGACTCGCAGGGTCATGGGCGTGACCTGTCTGCAGCAGGAATAGGCCTTCTTGCTGCTGCTACCCAGTCTTTAAGTATGCCAGCATCTCTTGGAAGGATGAACCAGGGTACTGCACGCCTTGCTAGTTTAATGAATCTTGGAATGAGTTCTTCATTGAATCAACAAGGAGCTCATAGTGCACTGTCTTCTGCTAGTACTTCTTCCCATAATTTGCAGTCTATATTTAACATTGGAAGTAGAGGTCCGCTCCCTTTGTCTTCTCAACACCGTGGAGATGCAGACCAGGCCAGTAACATTTTGGCCAGCTTTGGTCTGTCTGCTAGAGACTTAGATGAACTGAGTCGTTATCCAGAGGACAAGATTACTCCTGAGAACTTGCCCCAAATCCTTCTACAGCTTAAAAGGAGGAGAACTGAAGAAGGCCCTACATTGAGTTATGGTAGAGATGGCAGATCTGCTACACGGGAGCCACCATACAGAGTACCTAGGGACGATTGGGAAGAAAAAAGGCACTTTAGAAGAGATAGTTTTGATGATCGTGGTCCTAGTCTCAACCCAGTGCTTGATTATGACCATGGAAGTCGTTCTCAAGAATCTGGTTATTATGACAGAATGGATTATGAAGATGACAGATTAAGAGATGGAGAAAGGTGTAGGGATGATTCTTTTTTTGGTGAGACCTCGCATAACTATCATAAATTTGACAGTGAGTATGAGAGAATGGGACGTGGTCCTGGCCCCTTACAAGAGAGATCTCTCTTTGAGAAAAAGAGGGGCGCTCCTCCAAGTAGCAATATTGAAGACTTCCATGGACTCTTACCGAAGGGTTATCCCCATCTGTGCTCTATATGTGATTTGCCAGTTCATTCTAATAAGGTGAGTTAATGCAACAGATACTTCTAATTTCTTTTACGTTGTAGTGCCTATTCTGTATTTACCTATATCTTTTACTCTAATTCTGTAGTCTGGTGACATTGAGTTGATCAAGAATTTTTATACTTTTGAGAACACTTACTTTATTTCGAAGGTAATTGTTTTTGAGCATTTTAAACCAGGGCTTTACATTAATACAATCTGCCTAGATTACTTCTGGCCACAAAGCTGTCATCCACTGGGATTATCTTGTTGGTTTTTGGCATCAATATGTTCTTCTTAATCGTATATTTAAGCAGGTTTTTTGTCTGCTTTGTTGAATTGTTTTAAGTATATATATATATTTTTGTTTTTGTTTTTTTTGCAGTCAATGTGCTCTGCCATTCAGGATGCTAGATAATCAGCTCTCCATCTGTCTTAATTACTGATTCGTATGTAGTAAAGATGTATTCTTGAACAATTCTCTTTTTTTCCTTATCTGTGGCTACAGGGAAAGAGTTAATGTAGAGCCCTGGTGTTTGTTTCAGTATATTTCATATTTTAGATTAGTTCATTCTTCCTTTTTTAATTTCCCTTTAACACAAACTCTCATGCTATAACTGAAATTTTTTCATCATTTTTTTTCTCCTTTTCCACAACTTTCTTAAACATACTTCAAAACTCACTTTTTATTATCCCATATTGCATCTATCCCTTTAGAGACTTGGGAAAATCAACTACTGCAGTATCCTGCTCTGTGTTCCTCATAAGCATGTTCTTTTTCTGACTTAGGCTTAGACTTCTGGTATAGTCATTTGAGGAAAAAAAAATCTAATTCTCCTTTGCTTTAATTATCACATCTGGCAAAATGGGAACTTTTTCAAAATGTCCTTTTAAATATATTGTCTTTTCTCTTTCAACGTTTTCAATGCTAATCATTCGCACTGGTTTTTTTCCCCCCAAAATACAGTGCAGTTGACTTAAGGTCAGCATTATAGCACTCCACTAGCTCGATCTGTAATCTGACCATCCATTTTTCCTGATGTGCTGTACTTAACTGGAACATGTTGCTGCCATGAAACTGATTTGATGGTTACTGTTACAGGGTTTTTTCTTCACATTAACATTTGGAAGGGTCATTTTCTTTTCACATCTATCCCTTTTAAATGCATTTTTAAGTGAGTGTTGATTTTTGAGCAAACTATATCATATAGGTCATTAGAGATTTTGTTTTTAATCTTTTTAAAAGTATTACCAATCAATCCCTTTTCTGTGTTTGGATCTCAATATTTTTGTCTCAGATAAGTAAGAGAAGAGACTTCTTATATTATTTGAATTTACAGAGTACTTTGAAAAATATCTTTAAGAATAATTCTTAGCTAAATATATGTATGTATTCCTTATAATACAAAAATCTTTTGAATTAATGCATCAATAATTTAAATATACAAGGAATATTTTAATCTTTAATCCGTGTCAAAATAAATTAACTTCAAATGCTAGATTTACGTTCATAGATTAATTTTCATTTAAGACAGAACCACAAACTCATAAAATTAGGGAATTTTTCTTTTTCATATTTGTTTTCCTTTTTCAGATTTGTTGGATACACTAAGTATATCATGGAATTTAGTTTTTGTTCAGTACCAAACTTCAAGTTTTAGGTCTGGTATGAATTGATTTAATGAAAAGGTCCATTAAACTTTGGTGACTCAAAATATTTTGTTACTTCTTGCCTGTTCGCAGAAATGGCAATACGAGAAATATTCTCAGATAGGCTCTCTAAACTCTAAGGAAGATAGCTAGTTACAGTGTCTCAAAGTGATTGTAAGGGACTTAAAATCTTTGCTACTGGAGTCATCATAAATCAAAAGCTGTTGTTGGAAGTCTCCTTTTCCTGACTTTGAGCAGTAATTTAACCTTGCTGCTTAACACATGGGAAAACAATTCAGTAAATAAACACAAAAGAAAACCAAGAAGGACTTTAATCAGAAAAAAAGCTTCCATTTTTATATATGATTATACTTTTCTCTCCAAATGTTGTTACCTTCTAGTTCCTTAACAGTTATATTAATAAATAATGATAGTAAATGGACCTAAATTGACAAAAGAATATATTTGAAACTTTGAATTCAAGAGTAAGACACCTTACCTAGTGCAAGAGGTACTTTTAACCTGTAAAAATGCATGTACCCTAGCTAGTTTGGGTATTTTATCACAAATTTAGAAACAGTTAAGAATTACTTTAGAGGCCCTTTGATTGGTTTACAAAATTTATGGTATTTGTAAATTGTACCAATTTTAAGAAGTTTTAGCACCTGGATTCTCTTAATGTATTTTAGTTTCCTTAACATAGCTAATGTTTTCTGGATATCTTCATTATGGAAAAAATACTCACTTTTAGTAGGGATCTTTTTAATTTATAGCTGATGTAGAATCAATGAGTTTAGAGAAAGTAGATAATGAAAAATTTTTTAACATTTAATCCTGCTCTCTGGTATTGCTGCATAACTTGGAAAATCTGTTCTTTTCACTTAGTAGTAACGTTAAATAGCCTACATGATCAAAACTTCTTCTTACTATGAAATAAGAAACTTTTAGGTGAGAAACATCTAATTTGTCATCATTATTTTTGATATTTTAAGTAACTTTCAGTGATGGTGTTGCTTTTATTTCTTTCTAGGTCATTGTAGAACATCAAGTTGCTTTTCTACACAGCCTCAAACTTGCCTCAAAATTCCTTTCACTTAAAGAAAACTGGCCACTACAGCCCTTTCACTGTCTTGTCACTTGAGTTCATATTTTCCTTTCAGTATTCTAGAAGCCCTTAAGTTATTCTTTATTGTGCCATTCCACATGTGCTTCTCCAAATTATCTTTTCTTTATATAATTTAGGTATCTCAGTGACATCAAGGTGAATGTAGTTTTTCCTGCAGAACTTCTGAATTCAAAAAGTGAATCCTTACTCTTTATTAATCTGATGTGAGAGTTACCTCCATGTAGAATCCAAGGATATAGGTTTTTTTAAAAACCTTTTGGCTCTTAATCCTCACCTTAGACCAAACAGTAAAAGATCAGGTATGGTAGCGCAGATTAGTAATGGGTGGGTTTGGGAGATATATAACTGATTCTTTGATCTTGGCTTTCCTTCTAGTACTTTGTAAGACCAGCCATACTTTCACTAGTTTGAACCTTTAAAGATCATGGGGGATTGGATATAAATAACTTCTGGTCAACTAGATATCCTTTCCATCTCCTATTAATTAGAAGCATGCCTAATAGGGTAATTTTTGCTCCTCTCCCAACACACTACTTCTCAAGGATATTTTAAATCTGAATATTTTTCGTTAAGAAAATTCTAAGTTAACATATTTGTTTAATCCCGCTTCTGAATTTTGTGAACTTCACCTATGGCGCCTCTTGGTTACAGCCATTTTTAAAGTGGCCTCCAACAAGTCGGTGGTCTGTTGCTTTGCAAGTAGAAATGTTTTATATCCCAAATATCTGGTTGTAGAGCCAGCTGGAGAGATCTCTTCCAGTTCCTTACTTATTAGCCATTATTTTAAAAAGACAATCCAGCTTTGAGAGATAGTTCCCCAAGTTCTTAGAAGTACCATTCTGTTTGAATGTGTTCCATTTTACCTCTTTCACAGTTTTAGTTAATTTTAGTAGGGCATAGAAATGTGTGTAAACTCTCAAAATGTAAGTTAGTTTTTAAAAATTAGATCCCATTTATAAAGTAACTTTTTGAAAAGTTTCAGAATGGTGTCTCTTGTAATTTGGTTCCTTATTTTAGTTCAGCTGTAAGTGAGACTCCCTTTTTAAAACATTGCCTGACCATGTTTTATATTCCAAATATAATGTATTAGGTAGTGTGGGTGTTGGAAAAGTTGCCTTATTTTGTGGGGATTTGTGAAACAATAATACTTGTAAAGCGGGAAGTGTAAAACAAGATAGCTTTCTTTATAAGCAATGTAATAATAGTTGCTTTTCTTTCTTTCTAAAATTTTTTTATTATTAGCACTTCCTATGTGCCTGGCAATGTTCTGATAAACAGGTTACCTTTATTAATTCATTACTTTTCACAAAATCCTAGGAGAATATTGAATCACAGTGAATTTAAATAACTTATACGAAGGATTCACATCTAGTAAGTGGCACCTTGGGAATTAAATGTAGGCAGTCTGGCAGCAAAGCCTACTTTTCCTAACTTTCTTATATTGCCTAAAATGTTAATCATTTACATGTGAATTTTTAACTAAAGAAAGGAAAGTTTATTTGCATAAAATAGGAAAAAATTAATCCCTTCAAATTTAAAATAATCACACAGGAGCAAATACTGAAGAAATAAAATGTTTTCCTCCCTAAAATTTAGAAATGGACACTCCTAAAATTTGCTTCTCTGATTTTGGGAAATATAATGGGAGTTTAGTTTTTTGATAAATGGGAGCATTTTCTAGAAAAGTCACTCCTGTTGAATCAACTTAGCTTTTTATGGCTGTAGTACACTTGCAACATACCTCAAAGGCTGGATGAAATTAAAGATACTATTTTTAACTAATTATTCACATTTATAGTATATATTTTCTAAAGTGATATAAGCATGGATATTTTTATCATATTTAGAGTTCTATAAAAGCAATTCTAATGATACGTAAATAAAATTCAGTTTCGTCCACAGCAGAAATTAATATGCCTGCTGATCTCAAGGTCAGTTACTACTCTTGATCTTTATTAACTCTATATCTTTTCCCTGTCAGGTCTGTTAGTATATTAACCAAGTTATCCAGTTTTTCCAAGAATGTGCATGGCGTATTTGAGGGCAGGATCAAGCTACAAGGATTCAGAGAAATGGTTTTAAATTAATTCAGTGTGATTAGTGAATGGGCAGGTGTTTGTTCTGCTTATACTATGTATAGATTAACATCCTAGACTTTGAATGGTTCAAATGAAAATACCTTAGTTTTATTTTTGTTAATTCTGCTAATTTACTTTGCTACAGGAGTGGAGTCAACATATCAATGGAGCAAGTCACAGTCGTCGATGCCAGCTTCTTCTTGAAATGTAGGAGTTTGAAATACCTTTAAAGCATCCTTATCGTGAATCAGAAACACCCATTGATTGCTTTGGGGAGTTCACCGTTTACTTGTAATATCCACATTGTTATTATTGCATAGTTGATACTGTCCAGGCAATGCCAATTACAAACAAAATGTTTAGATCTGGAATTGTATATGGGATGTTAGATGCAGTGGTAGTGGTACTTTGTTATTTAATATTATTTCTAGGGTTAATAAACGTTTGTTCTTTTATACAAATTGAAAGAATTAATAGACTTAAAGATAGCCTTTGATACATAGAACAGGTTCATAAGAGCATTTGCAGTAACAGTAATAAGTGCTCTAAGAATATAGAAGATGTGGAAAGGGGGGAAATTACTAGAAGTTACAAGTTAGTTTTCAAGCAAAACCCTTCAGGATGTATTTTTTGCTTTTGAGATACTTTTGATTCTGAGTTTAAGCTGCTAGAATGAAATTGAATTCCTAAAGAATCTCCCTGCCTAAATAGCACATGATACCCATTGTTCACTGAAGTGGCCATTTTCACGTATGCTATGCTCTGTTGGGGCTGTCCTTTCTGTCTAGTGCCACAACTCAACTCTGCTCTTGGTATTTAATATTGGAGAAAGAAAATCTGTGGTCAGTCTTTGTTTCCCTATATAATCCACATTTCCAGTCCCTCATGCAGCACTTTTCCTCTTTGTGAATTAACAAATATAGGGAATTCCCTAGCGGCCCAGTGGTTAGGACTACACACAATTTCACTGCCAAGGGCCCGGGTTCAGTCTCTGGTTGGGATACAAGCCATGTGGCATGGCCAAAAAAAACCAAATACAGGAGTATTTTAATTGCAACATACATTACCTACATTTTCAGGCAATACAGAACAAGTTTATTCTCCTTCATTTGGATTAATTTGAAACTCTGAAATTTTCCTTTGGAAATATCTACATGTCATGTTTTTAAACTGTAATATTTCTAACACTTAGACTCTGTATAACTTTACTAATGAATAATCTCTATTTTAAAGGCCAAACGAGGCTACTTTGTGAATAGGACAGTTTTATTTTAAAGTTAATTTTCTGGTCTTTTTAAAGCTACCCAGAATGGAATCCTGACAATGATACAGGACACACAATGTAAGTTAAATTTTTTAAGCTATTGTTTGTAAAGGAGATCAATGTAAGGAATTCAGGTTAAACTTTTCAACATTTCATAAACAATATTTTCTTAATTTCTTTATTGAATATGAGAGTTTGGTAAAAGTCACTGTGGGTGAAAGAATTTCTAGAAACAATCTTATGTAGTAATTTTTATTTTATTGTTATAGATTTTTCCCTAGTTACTTCATACATAAATGCCCCCAAAGATTGGAATCATAGTCATACAAATGTTTTAGCAGTAAATCTTAGTTATTTCTGATGGACTTTATCATGCTTTGTATTTTATGTTTTCACATTATACTAGGGGTGATCCATTCATGTTGCAGCAATCTACAAACCCAGCACCAGGAATTCTGGGACCTCCGCCTCCCTCATTTCATCTTGGGGGACCAGCAGTTGGACCAAGAGGAAATCTGGGTGATTATAAAATTCATGTTACCTTTCCCTAAGAGCTTTTATCATAAAAATTAAATGCAGTGATGTTAGGCAAAAGAAGTGTCATAGAACTGTAACTCAGAAATAACATTGCATGAGAAGACATGTGGTACTCATATGATATTTGTAATATCCTTCATTTGTGTTTGAAAAATGTCTGTTTTTCAATTAAAATAGCCTGGTAGCGCAAGTATATTTATTACAAGACTGAAAAATATACTTTTTCCCTATAAAGGTGCTGGAAATGGAAACCTGCAAGGACCAAGACACATGCAAAAGGGCAGAGTGGTCAGTAATAAAGCTCTTGCTTTTACTGTTTTAGCTGTTCGGGGGAATGTGATTTGACTTGAATCCTTGCTAATTGAATTTGTGTCATAGTCTTTATTAGGAAGATTGCTTTAGTTTGAAAATCATCAGGCTTTTATATATGACTTTGATAAGAATTAAAACTTTGTTTTCCTATGTCCGTAGTCTAGAGATCTCACCTTGATTCAAAGTTAAGAACTTTGCTATCTAATTATGTACAAGGTAGTCAATTTAAATATCAGTGCAGATACTGTTTTCTGGAACTTTGAGATTTGCCCCAGTGACATATTTTAAATATTTAGTTTTTTCCAGTTGGCTGTAGATTATAAAAGTTTTAATATAATACATAACCTGTTTCGTATTGCTTCTAAAGAGACTTGTTTACTAACTTGATTTTTTCCTAATGGATAGGAAACTAGCCGAGTTGTTCACATCATGGATTTCCAGCGAGGGAAAAACTTGAGATATCAACTATTACAGCTGGTGGAACCATTTGGAGTTATTTCAAATCATCTGATTCTAAATAAAATTAATGAGGTATGAGTTAAGTATAGTATTTATTGATCACTAAAATATTTCCTAAGGGGATTACATAATTTTGTGTTAGAGCTTAAATCATCAATATGGAATGTAATATAGAGCAAAGGGCCAATAGTTGAACTAATCAGTAATAAATTCTAGTACTGATGGATTATTAGTAACTTTATAAATTGTGATTCTTAAGCAGTAACATTGTCATTATTACACTGCAGCTACTATAAGGGCTATATAAGAATAATTATTTGGAAAACCATTTCAAACTTTTACCCAAATGGCACCGAATTATTTCAGATTCAGTAGGCATAATAAATGATAGTTTTACTATCATGACGGTAACAAAATCTGAGGTGATCGTTAATAAATAGCAAATTAGCAACGCTGGGTTTCTTGTTTTGCTTTTAGATTCTTGAAAATGCTTTCTATTTAATGATTAAATATTTTTGGAAAGACTTGGGCAGTGTGGAATTTGGTTGGTTTGGGGAAATAATTTTTTTTGCCATTTTAGGCATTTATTGAAATGGCAACCACAGAAGATGCCCAGGCTGCAGTGGATTATTATACAACTACACCAGCATTAGTATTTGGCAAGCCAGTGAGAGTTCATTTATCCCAGAAGTATAAAAGAATAAAGGTAATATCTGTTTTTCCAGATTTGTATTACCAACAATTTGATACATCATTTTAATATTTACTAACTTACAGATATTTTAAATTGTTGCTAATATCTAGGATAATCTTAACTATTAACTAATAATTACGGCATACCTACCAACGTTTGACTCCCCCTCCCTCCCTTTTTTTTCCCCATTTATTAAAGAAACCTGAAGGGAAGCCAGACCAGAAGTTTGATCAAAAACAAGAGCTTGGACGTGTGATACATCTCAGCAATTTACCTCATTCTGGCTATTCTGACAGTGCTGTCCTCAAGCTTGCTGAGCCTTATGGGAAAATTAAGAATTATATACTGATGAGGATGAAAAGTCAGGTAATATACATGTTGAAGTTTTGAAAAATATTATTTCTCAGAGTGCTTTAAGTTTTTTGTTTCGTTTTTTTTTTTAATATCCTCATTTGTAGTGAAGAAAGGGTGGGGAGGTAATTTGGCATCCAAGGTGGAGTGGTTCTTTAGCTTATTATAGATAAATTTTCTAGCCAAGTGGTAGTTTTTTAAAAGTCATAGTAGGCGAATTCTATCAAACATTTAGAGAAGAGCTAACACCGATCCTTCTTAAACTCTTCAAAAAATTGCAGAGGGAGGAACACTTCCAAATTTACTATCACCCTGATACCAAAACCAGACAAAGATACCACAAAAGAAGAAAATTACAGACCAATATCACTGATGAAAACAGATAGAAAAATCCTGAACAAAATACTAGCAAACAGAATCCAACAACATATTAAAAGGATCATACACCGTGATCAAACGGCATTTGTCCCAGGGATACAAGGATTCTTCAGTATACGCAAATCAATCGATGTGATACACTATATTAACAAATTAAGGAATAAAAACCATATGATCATCTCAATAGATGCAGAAAAAGCTTTTGACAAAATTCAACACCCATTTATGGTAAAAACTCTCCAGAAAAATGGGCATAGAGGGAACCTTCTTCAACATAGTAAAGGCCATATATGACAAACCCACAGCAAACATCATACTCGGTGAAAAACTGAAAGCATTTCCACTAAGATCAGGAACAAGACAAGGATGTCCACTCTTGCCACTCAGCATAGTTTTGGAAGTCCTAGCCACAGCAATCAGAGAAGGAAAAGAAATAAAAGGAATCCAAATTGGAAAAGAAGAAGTAAAACTGTCACTGTTTGCAGGTGATGTGACATAATTTTCTACTCTACATAAAAAATCCTAAAGATGCCACCAGAAAACTACTAGGAACTAATCAGTGAGTTTGGTAAGGTTGCAGGATACAAAATTAATGCACAGAAATCTCTGGCATTCCTATACACTAACAACGAAAGATCAGAAAGAGACATTAAGGAAACAATCACACTTAACACTGCAAGAAAAAGAATAAAATACCTAGGAATAAACCTACGTAAGGAGGCGAAAGACTTGTACTCAGAAAACTATAGAACACTGATGAAAGAAATCAAAGATGACGTAAACAGATGGAGAATACACCATGTTCTTGGATTGGAAGAATCAATATTGTAAAAATGACTGTACTACCCAAAGCAATCTACAGATTCAGTGCAATCCCTGTCAAAGTGCCAATGGCATTCTTCACAGAATTAGAACAAAAAATTTTGCAATTCGTAAGGAAGCACGGAAGACCCCAAATAGCCAAAGCAATCTTGAGAAAGAAAAACGGAGCTGGAGGAATCAGGCTCCCAGACTTCAAATTATACTACAAAGCTACAGTAATCAAGACAGTATGGTACTGGCATGAAAACAGAAATATAGATCAACAGTACAGGATAGAAAGCCCAGAGATAAACCCACACACATATGGTCACCTAATTTTCAACAAAGGAGGCAAGAACATACAAGGGAGAAAATACAGCCTCTTCAATAAGTGGTGCTGGGAAAACTGGACAGCTTCATGTAAAAGAATGAAATTAGAACGCTCCATAACACCATACACAAAAATAAACTCAAAATGGATTAAAGACCTAAATATAAGACCAGACACTAAAACTCTTAAGAGGAAAACATACGCAGAACACTCTATGACATAAATCACAGCAAGATCTTTTTTGACCCACCTCCTAGAGAAATGGAAGTAAAAACAAAAATAAACAAATGGGACCTAAGTAAACTTAAAAGCTTTTGCACAGCAAAGGAAACCATAAACAAGACGAAAAGACACTCCTCAGAATGGGAGAAAGTATTTGCAGATGAAACAATGGACAAAGGATTAATCTCCAAAATATACAAACAAGTCATGGAGCTCAATATCAAAAAAAACAATTCAATAAAAAATGGGCGGAAGACCTAAATAGACATTTCACCAAAGAAGACATACAGATGGCCAAGAGGTACATGAAAAGCTGCTTAACATCACTAATTATTAGAGAAATGCGAATCAGAACTACAGTGAGGTATCACCTCACGCTGGTCAGAATGGCCATTATCAAAAAATCTAGGGCTTCCCTGGTGGCGCAGTGGTTGAGAGTCTGCCTGCCGATGCAGAGAACACGGGTTCGTGCCCCGGTCCAGGAAGATCCCACATGCCGCAGAGCGGCTAGGCCCGTGAGTCGTGGCTGCTGAGCCTGCGCGCCCAGAGCCTGTGCTCCACAACGGGAGAGGCCACAACAGTGAGAGGCCCGTGGAAAGGGTGTGAAAAGGGAACTCATCTGCACTGTTGGTGGGAATGTAAATTGATACAACCACTTTGGAGAACAGTATGAAGGTTCCTTAAAAAACTAAAATTAGAACTATCATATGACCCAGCAGTCCCACTACCGGGCATATACCCTAAGAAAACCATAATTCAAAGAGAGTCATGTACCACAGTGTTCACTGCAGCACTATTTACAATAGCCAGGACATGAACCAAATCTAAATGTCCATCGACAGATGGGATAAAGAAGATGTGGCACATACACACAGTGGAGTGTTACTCAACCATAAGAAGAAACGAAATTGAGTTATTTGTAGTGAGTTGGATGAACCTAGAGTCTGTCATACAGAGTGAAGTAAGTCAGAAAGAAAAACGAATACCGTATGCTAACACATATATATATGGAATCAAAAAAAAAAAAACGATGAACCTAGTGGCAGGGCAGGAATATAGACATAGAGAATGGACTTGAGGACATGGAGTGGGGAGGGGGGAAGCTGGAGTGAAGTGAGAGTAGCATCGACGTATATACACTACCGAATGTAAAATAGTTAGCTAGTGGGAAGCAGCAGCATAGCACAGGGTGATCAGCTCGGTGCCTTGAGATGACCTGGAGAGGTGGGATTGGGAGGGAGGCTCGAGAGGGAGGGGATATGGGGGTATATGTATGCATATGGCTGATTTCCTTTGTTGTACAACAGAAACTAACAGTATTGTGAAGCAGTTATACTCCAGTAAAGCTCTATTTAAAGATTAATTCTCAAAGTGCTTTAAGTTTTGTTTGTTTTTCGTTTAATATTCTCATTTGTAGTGAATAAATAAAGTGGAAAGTAAAGATCTTTTTTCTTGCTTGGTTAATAACACTATTTGTTTCCTGAGTTTGCTTCCAAAGATCTTCCTTTGTGTATATAGGTATACTTTTTCCCCTTACTTCAAATGGGATTATATCATACTGTTGTTTTCCACAGTATATGATTCCATTGAGTAAACTGTAATGAATTTAATTTCTTTAGTTGATGGATATTAGAGTTGCTAGTATTTTGGCTGTGCCATTAATGCTGCTGTGGACTTTGTGGCATGTGAATTTATGCATTTGATTGAAGGGTACAATTTCAGAATTGGAATTTTGGATCCTGATACTTGCTTTCTTTAGTTTGATGGTGTCAAATTGCTCTTCAAAAAATACTATTCATTTATAGTCACACCAGCATTGTCTGAGAGTGAGAGCTTTGCAAACACTGGATATTAAAGACTTTTCAAATTATGTGAGTTTAATGGATGGATTAAGTTATGTCATACTTGTATTTCATTTTTAAAATTCACAGTAAGGAGAGCATCTTTTCTTTCTTTTTCGTTAACCCTTTTGTAGCAACATGAGTTTATATCCTTCCTAACTTTTACTTTTTAATTTTTTGTTATTTTCCTTAATGTATTGTGAGTGATATTTTCTAAGCTTAGTACTTTAATTACTTTTGCAAAAAGACTGCATACAGGTGGTTTAATATTTGGACAAGATACTTTGTAAATCTGACAAATTGCCCTTATTTCACTGGGTGATTTTTAACTCTTACTGCTATCTCTATACTAAAGATTAAATTCTCCTAACAGGTAGAAAAAATAAGCTCTAAAATTCTGTACAATTCTTTGAAAAATAATGTCTTTGCTAATTTTGTTTTCAGGCCTTTATTGAGATGGAGACCAGAGAAGATGCAATGGCAATGGTTGACCACTGTTTGAAAAAGGCCCTTTGGTTTCAAGGGAGATGTGTAAAAGTTGACCTGTCTGAAAAATACAAAAAATTGGTACTCAGGGTATGTAGTATTTGATTCTACTTCATTATAAAGCTTGTTTTCATGCTTTTCAAGCCATGACATTCTTATAAACATTTTTATATGCCAAGAATATAGGATAGATTTTATTTGAACAGAGTTCTGTTAATAAAGTGTTTATTATTCACTGCTCTATTGAAATGTTGATTGTAATGAATTGGTAACTATATTCAGCTTAAATTCTTAGGTATGGTTACAGAGATTGAATAAGCTTAGTTGATATATAAAGGACGGTCATCAGTCATTAGTTAATTGGATAATTATACTACAAATTCTAATACATTTATTTAACTTCTGTAAAATTTTGTCTTTTAGATTCCCAACAGAGGCATTGACTTACTGAAAAAAGATAAGTCCCGGTAATTTCCCTTTGTGTGTGTGTCTGTGTCTTTGTGTACACTAGTATATTAAAAACTTTTGTTTTCCAGCTCAGGTGAATTAATTCAGATGTATCTTTTGGTTTCAGGAAAAGGTCTTACTCTCCAGATGGCAAAGAATCTCCAAGTGATAAGAAATCCAAAACTGATGGTTCCCAGAAGACTGAAAGTACAACCGAAGGTAAAGAACAAGAAGAGAAATCAGGAGAAGATGGTGAAAAAGATACAAAGGATGACCAGGCAGAACAAGAACCTAACATGCTTCTTGAATCTGAAGATGAGCTACTTGTAGATGAAGAAGAAGCAGCAGCACTGCTAGAAAGTGGCAGTTCAGTGGGAGATGAGACAGATCTTGCTAATTTAGGGGATGTGGCATCTGATGGGAAAAAGGAACCTTCAGACAAAGTTGTGAAAAAAGATGCAAATGCGAGTGCTTCAGCAACTGCCAAGAAAAAGCTTAAAAAGGTAAAGGAAGATTATGTGTTGACCTGTTTTAGTAGAAAATGAGATCAGATAAACGTTTCAAATTATATATATTAGGGTCACAGTAAAGAGAAGTCACTTATATTAGGAAAAAGTAGATACGAATAATAAAAACATTGAAATCTAAACTCTGCAATAAATAGATTAAATAGGACTAATTTTCAAAAGAAAAATGTCAGTTCACAAAGGGAACTTTTTAGTAATGAAGGAGAAAGACTTAAAACTACATATGATGCTGTTTTGTAGTGGTAGTGTGTAAGTAGTAGTAGGCAGCCTTTATGGTGCAGCTTGTTTTTTAAAAGATGGGGTATGAATTTTACAGTAACTTAACTGACCCAGGCCACTAAAAACCTTTTGTCAAAAATGGCTGCATTTGAAGAATTTTCCTATTAAAGAAATGTAACCTTGATTAGATATTTTAATAGGTTTTAAAACATTTTTTCTTAGAACACGTCACATATAAGAGCATATAAGGCGAGTATCAATACAAAAATATGTACATGGTAAAAGAATAGTAACTCAAGAGACCCATGGTGTATTGACTACCTATGTTAAGGAGCCCCTTTGGAGCTCCTTAAGATAAATGGGTCTTGAAATGAGATTTTTATAATCCTATTTCATTGGTTCCTTCTAAGCAGTACTCAGCTACTAGGAAACTAATACTTACCTCCAGTTTTTGATGGCTTGGTCAAAAAAGTTAGTCTTGAGATTCTTTTTCTGGCTGCTATGTTTGCACTCTTAAGAGCTGATAATTATTGAGCGCTTATTACATGCTGTAATTTTTCCTAAGCTCTGTGTGTGCCGATTAACTGATTCTTATAATCCTATGCCATAGATACTTTGTTATCCCCATTTCATGAATGAGCAGATCGAGATATGTTAAAATTGAGTAGATTGTGGTTATACTGCCTATAAATGGCAGAGCCAAAATCTAAACCAAAGCAGTCATGCTCCAGAGCTTGATTTTTAAACCACAGTGCTATTTTTAGACTGAATGTTCTCTAAGCAAGGTTTATACCATAAGATACCTTCTTTGAAGGACATCTTTCAACTACCAAATCAGTTCTTCGATACATTCCCTAGCAGCAGAATAGTCTCAGAAAGTATGGAATATGAATGTCCTCATATTTATTTTCTGCTCTTTGTATGAGACAAGCCTTCGATTATTTAGTTTTAAAACAGGCTAAGGTGTTTTTGAAAGGTTAGTAATTTAGAGGGGAAAAAGGAAGAAGTCAGCTTTTTTTTTTTTTTTTTTTTTTTTTGAGAAAATGAAGGCAAAGACGCTATCCCTTTCCCTTCAAGTAAAGCAAATGGAAGGGATGCTGCAGGATAATTGTTGCAGAGTAAATTTGTCTTTCTTAACAGCGTCGTTTCCCAGGGAGTATGGAAGGTTTTGTCACTCTAGATGAGGTTGGTGATGAGGAAGATTCGGAACTTCAGAAACTTCGTAAATCGGGCATGGCATTTAAATCTGGTGACAAAAATGATGATGGTTTGGTTGAAATTAAGGTGGACAAGATCGAGGAACTTGACCAAGAAAACGAAGCAGCGTTGGAAAATGGAATTAAAAATGAGGAAAATACAGAACCAGGTGCTGAATCTGCTGAGAATGCTGATGATCCCAACAAAGATACAAGTGAAAACGCAGATGGCCAAAGTGATGAAAACAAGGAGGACTATACAATCCCAGATGAGTATAGAATTGGACCGTATCAGCCCAATGTTCCTGTTGGTGAGATTTAAGGCTTTGTTCTTCCCCTCTCACTCTTCCCAAACTCTTACTAAATAAGATTTTTAAAATTGGTCTTACATAAGTTCTGATAACATTCTTAATTTACTTCTATGCAAAACAGTTTGTAAATCTTAATTGGAACATTCTTTTTTCCTCTTACCCATGTCTCCTGATTTTGTATTATCTTTTGTTACCATTCCATAATATGTTCTCTTTTCTCATAAAGTTTTCTGAGAATTTCACATTGCTTTTTGTTTTGTTTACCTTTTCTATTTCAGTATTTTTAAGAGAACAATTAGGTGTGGGACCTTAAATATCAATTAAGTACAAACTATTAACAATGTCATGGTTTTTGTTTTGTTTTAGCTTAGGCTACATTAGACTTGTCACAAATGTTACCTCATTCAACTTACATTGACAGGAAAAAAAAGATTTGAGAACACTATTAAAATCTTCAGTTTACTGAATTTGTAAGAATGTATGTTTGTGTTCTAGGTATAGACTATGTGATACCTAAAACAGGGTTTTACTGTAAGCTGTGTTCACTCTTTTATACAAATGAAGAAGTTGCAAAGAATACTCATTGCAGCAGCCTTCCTCATTATCAGAAATTAAAGGTAAGGCTATATCTAAAAGAGGAGAGTTCTTTAGTGAAAACTAGCAAATCATATAAGTTTATGGAAAGTAGTACTGTCTGTGGACCCAGCATGCTTTATCCTGGAGATAACATTCTTTATTGATGGGCCTTGAGCAGTTTAATGAATTCTAGAAACATCTGTTAATTAAGCCTCTTTCTAGAAAACACTCTTAACTAAGTGTTGATAATTGAGTAATTTCTAAATTTATAGTTCTAAATGTTATAAATTCTTTGGTATAGTTAAAGTTATTTGAGTATTCTCAAATGGTTGTTAGACTGTGATTTCTCTAATTTGGATATTGGAGGCCTGAAAGCCAGCTTTATAAAGTGCCATATCCCTTCATACTTAATGATTTTTACATTGACTTTAAATTATTATATATTAATAATGACACTTCAGTAAGTTTCATGATCAACAGGATATAAAGATAAAAGGATACATTAAAAAAGCACAACATGTTAAAGCATAACAAATTTGTTTGGATATTTTGAAGTTTGGTGTTTTAGTGGCTTAAGGACTAAGTATTAAAATAAATGGGAAAAACTTGAAAGTAAGAGTTAAAGAATTCATAATTGTAGATAACACTGATTTATAAAGCAGAGCATTAAGAACAGTGGTTATTTTCAGTGGTAGCAGCAATTTAATATAAATATTTTGTCTGCTTGGCTTAGTGGAAGGGTCATTGAATAAATATATGTCATTTTAACTAAGTTCTTGGGGTGTAGCAGTACTTCTGTGTGGCTGTTATGGTCTTTGATCATCTCTGTAAGTTAGTCTTAATTGCACATTAAATAGCTTTCATGTTTTACCGTTTTTCTCCCATGCCTTACTGTGGTGTCCAGTTTAGTTTCATACCTGCCTAATAAGAATAACTGGATCTTAAAAGTATTGATAAGGTTATAGTTAAATTAGACTCAAGTCCCTAAACATGGATAGAATATTTTGTTTTGGAGTTAATCCATTTGTTATGTTTCACTGTGGTGACTTAATCCTTGTAAAAAATTTTTTTCTATTTTCTTTTCAGAAATTTCTGAATAAATTGGCAGAAGAACGCAGGCAGAAGAAGGAAGCTTAAGATGTGCAAGAAGCTTAATGATTTCAAAGAAAATAATGGTTCTTTGTTTTTAAATGTTAACCTTTTTTAAATACAATACAGATAGTTAGAAAACTATTGTACTCTTTTGTTATAGTGGAAAAATAATAGACGTCTGTTCACGTGTTAAGTGTTATAGCAAAAATACATATACGGTTAAGTTAATGAAGAATTGTTTTTGTTTTATCAAAATGGTAACAGACAGAAATACTTGTTAGAGACTGACTTCATATGCTACTTAAGACACTTGCACCACTAAGAAAGATACGTAGAAACATTCAGAGAAGTGAAATTTAGTAGTTCCAAGCTTCAAAGAAATGTCAAAACTTTTGATTCCATTCAATAAAGAACAAAACCAATTGTATTTTTATTACTTTCATCTGAAACATTCCACATTTTAATCTGAGCCTTGCAGACTTTTCATTTGCAGTTCGAAGCATTTTTGGTTTTGTTTCAATTTTTGAGAACTTCATTAATGTGAGGTTGGTAATTAAAATGCAGGTGCAGTTTTCTTTTAATGTCATGCTGTTTAGGTAATAAGAAATACTAAGTAATTGGCTTTAGATTTTGTAATTTTTTCCCTAAGTTCCTGCTAGATTTCGTATTCTAGTAGTCAATGTCTTTTTCAGTGAAATGTAAAAATATTCCCATTCTCTTTGACCAGTATTAATTTCTTGAGATATTGCTTGTCACTTGAATCCTGTAGCTGTCATACATCTGGTATAAGCACATTTGATTTTTGAAGTATGTAGACCATCTCTTCATATTTTCAAGATGTAATTTTACATTTCTGCATTTTAAAAACAGTTTGGCCATAATCTTAGACGCACGCTTCTAATTCATATACTGCATATGTGACCTTTGTGAACAGAAATTTGCATGTATAATCTGTGTTTACTTGTAACTTTCTGGTTATATACTGCTTATATCTGTGGATTCAAGTTTCTGAAGTGAGTACCAATAAAAAAAAAAACCTAGGCCATGTTCATTGGTTATACATGTTTGAAATGTTAACCAATATATTTGTCAGTTGTGGTTTTTATTCACTGTTACACTTTTTGCATGCTTTAACAAATTATTACATTTTTAATTTAGAGTGTTCTAAAGACTGCTACTAAAGATCTGAGTTTTAAAGCTTTTAGTGCTGGTGGATTTCTTGTTCCTGTTACATAACTGAAAATGGGACTCTTCATAGTTTTTGGTTTTTGGTTTTTTCTTCATAGTTTTTTAAGACCTTGGAGTTTTAAGATGTTACGGGTGAGGAAATGGTAAAAGCTCATGTTTAGACATGTCTAAGTATTTAACGATAAAATTGGAAGTAACATGTAATAACAAGAATTGGTTTTACCAGCCTTTCAAAGTTGTTGGGATTATAGGTATAAGAAATTATTGTCAAACAAATTTTTAATTAAAAAAAATAAGAATTTAAGGGATTCTCTTTGAAACTCTTAGGTCCAAGTGTATTAAAGGATATATCAAATAGTTGAAAGAAATATTATGATCTACCACTGAGGGGCAGATGACACTTTTTTAAATGTAACATGCACAAAAAATCCTTGCCAGTTTACTTCTGTAGTTTAATTTTGGCCTTTACTAATTACCCGCTTTTGTTTAACTCCAACTTTTAACTAACAGCAGCTACACAAAGCATTTTGTGTACACAAATCAAGGAATCCCTTGATTGTTTTCTGTCAATGATAACTTTTTTCATAGATCCTACTTTGTTAGATATACCAAGTTGGAGAAAAGAATGTTTAATATCTTCATTTGATAGCATTTGAAAGCAGAAATTCTCATAAATTGCTAGTGATTAATAAATCTGTAACAGCTATTTCCCAGATTACGGCAAACCTTTATTTAAGAGGAATGTTTCCACTTTAACCAGCTATAAAGTTGAAAATTTTCCCACCACCATTTTAGTTTTTAGTTTAATCTGCTGTTAATCCTGGGTAAAGGAAACTTTTTTTTTTTTTTTTCGCGGTACGCGGGCCTCTCACTGTGGCCTCTCCCGTTGCGGAGCACAGGCTCCGGACGCGCAGGCTCAGCAGCTATTGCTCACGGGCCCAGCCCCTCCGCGGCATGTGGGATCTTCCCGGACCGGGGCGCAAACCCGTGTCCTTTGCGTCGGCAGGCGGACTCTCAACCACTGCGCCACCAGGGAAGCCCAAAGGAAACTTTTGTAAACACCTTCATGTTTGTTTTACAGTTTTCTTTTAACCGATTGTTGATAAATTTGGCATATGAGAGTGACCCTGGTAAGGCTTGAGTTGGCTAGCTGTAGTATTGTGTATCTTAAAAATAATTTAAGATTTTATTAATGAGGAAGGTGAATTTCTGGCTATAGAGTACACCAGGAAGTACCTCCTCTAGAAAATGGTATGATTGCAAGGACCTTTTAAAGGTTATATCCTTTCTCTGAATTCTTTTACCCCTTAGGGTGATGGGGACAAGTAAAAGGATGTATACCCTATTAAGTATTGTGGCATTAAGTTTATAAAAGGGGAAGGGTACACATATTTATGCCTCACCTTGTTCACAGTGCATTTTTGGTGGCTTTGACCTGTAAAAACATCATGAATAAAAATTGTGACAAAAGAGGCTCACAGTATGTAGTAGAAATCTGTAGAAACACTACAGATTATATTTTTAAATCAAATCAGTAACAAAATTGGTATAGACAGTTTGGTTAGGATAATATGCACTAGGGCTAGGAGTGAGTAGCTGTGTACTCTTCTGTATTGGTCTCCATCACAGAAAATGGCCTAGGATAGCTGAAAGCTCAAAGTATTGAATGGTTATGCATTTGAGATTATATTCCCTTGACAAGGACCTTGAGCTGTTTGTTGAGCTGGAGTGCCTCTCCAGTCTGATGCAGGTCCTTTGACTGTCATGGGAAAGATCAAGATTCTTATCCAACATGGTATGTAAACAAAATGGTTCTGTGAATTCTTTTCCTTTAGTGGTTCTCAAATGTTAGCATGCATCAGAATTACACGGAAGCTTCATTTAAACATTGCTGGGCCCTGTTCTTAGAATTTCTGATTTGCTAGGTGTAGGGTGGGTGTTAATAATTATCCATCTTTCAAGTTACCAGGTGATGTTGATGTCAAGGATAAAGGCCACACTTTGGTTTACCTGTAGCTGAAGTGTTACTGCTAGGCAGTTGTAATCAAACACCTGGTTTAGATAACTGTTGCTTGAAGTACTGGTTTTGCTACTATTAAAAACTAAAAATAAGGGGAATGTTGGAAAATAATCATTATTTGGGGGCACTCGCAAAGCATTTTTTAAAGAGTCGTTAATGGGAGACACCCATTTCAGAGCCCTAGATACTGCTTTCCCAAGTCAACCCTTTGTCTTTTGCTTGGAACATTAATAAAATCTTGAACAGCTAATTTACTGAAGTTTCAAGTGAATGGCAAAATGGAAGTAGGTACCTCTCATCACTCCATGTATAATTTGCTGAATTATAAACTTTATAGTTGACACAGGCTAGAGCTCAATTAAGGTACTAGTTAATTTGGAAAAGTTCTGAGGGAGAAGACTGTCAGGTAATACATGATTAATTTTTAAAAGGCTATATTAATACTTTTAAAAGGCTTTATCTTAAGACTTTTAGCCCTGGCCTTCCCTTGAAATTATAGTTCTTGCCTTAGATTTATAATTTCCATACAGTTTCAGAATTATGCAAAGCCACATGCACAGTAGAGAATGGGAAAATTGAAAGGCAGTATGTTACATGTAGTAGAGAAATGTCAAACGTATCCATGCCAATAGCATTTGTATTGCTGCCATTAGATACAAGTTTAATGATCTTTGAACCATCTTGTCATTGTGCTTCATACATGGCAGCATTGATGTATTGGTTCTGAGGACCTGATCCAAATGGATATACCAAGAGCAGCAGGAATGTCCTACCTTTGACAAGGACAAAATACTGAAGTTTCAGTCATTGCACCTGACTATCAAAAGTAGGGCCAATTTCTATGCTCTATTAGCAACCTTGCTAGGGTTGTTAAATCACAGCTACTTCCTTGGCAACTACCAACTATGTTCTTGATATATGTCCCCCCCTTTTTTTCCTACACTTTGTATCAAGTTAAGCCCTAGTTCATGCTCTGTGTGCACTCTATTTTGTGGTATGAAAACCTGTGGAAAGGAATTGGAGTTTAAATGATTCTTGGTGTAATGGATGGTGAAACTTTAGTGAAGACCTAACTGATTTTCCTGATGGTGGCTGCTTCTGCTTGCAAGTACAAAGTGTGTTTCTGACCCATCTCATTTTAAGTAGCTGGGCTGTGCAAAACCAGCAAGGATGGGCTTGGCTCAGACTGGAAAAGAGGAATTTTTTTTTCCTCTTATCACCCTTCTGCAAAAACCTTTGTTTATTTTACATTTACAACTATATACAAATTTGATCCTCTTTTTAGGACAGTTTTTTTTTTTTTTTGCGGTACGCGGGCCTCTCACTGTTGTGGCCTCTCCCGTTGCGGAGCACAGGCTCCGGACGCGCAGGCTCAGCGGCCATGGCTCACGGGCCTAGCCGCTCCCCGGCATGTGGGATCTTCCCGGACCGGGGCACGAACCCGTGTCCCCTGCATGGACAGGCGGTCTCTCAACCACTGTGCCACCAGGGAAGCCCATAGGACAGTTTTTTTTTTAATACACAAAATTTACCATCTTAGCCTTTTTTTGGGGGGGTGATAGGTAGGAAGTGGATTTATTTAGAGAGAAACTCCACAGACTGTGGGCCATCTCAGGAGAGAAAGGCCAGCCATTTTTTAATAACTTGCTTTATTCTGTTAATACCATAATTCACTTAACCAATTCCCTATTGATAGGCTTTTCAGTTTCTTGGTTGTTTATAACAGCTATGAATATCCTTACGTATCTATACATATGTCCGATTTCTTCCCCATACATGGAGTGTTTGAGTCAGGATTTACACGTTCTACATTTTGACAATTCGGGGAGAGTGGGAACCTGTTCATAGCCATCCTACGCCTTCATAACCATCCTCTCCTGGTTGCTACTTCACCTTCCATCTCAAGTTAGAATTGTTAGTGCCTGAGACTGTTGAATGTCTGCAGCATTTTAAAACTGCACCTCTGATGGTTCCATTGCAGTGTCTTTTCTCATCATTGGCAAACTTACTAGCCTTCATTATTGTGATAGTGTTTTCCATTCATAGACCATCATCACCACCATCCAGGCATAGCATAAAAACATGACAGTACCCTGGGCCCATCAGGCTTTCTCAGCCACAATGGTGAACTCACGGTGAGCTGGGAATTGAGATCTATAGCCCCTTTGTGTGAGAAAAACAACATAAGCCTTTGAATGGTTCAGATTAAAATAAGCCAGGATTTAGCAAAGATTATTTTTCAACATAACTTACATGGGTTGTGTTAATAAGTTCCATTTATCTCCATGATTAGCTTTTAAGATTGCCAGAGTCATCTACAGATTAAACTACCTATTTTGATTTTGTTCTCCCTCCTGTTCATGCCTCTTCTAGCCTCGAGTTGATAGTTCCAGGTTCCTTGAATGAATCATGCTCCACAGACCAGTAAAACAGCACCATCTTTCCAGAGCTGTTGGCTCAGCAGGCAAGAAAGCCAAGCCCTTCCAGTTTAGGATACAGATCTGCAAATGTGGCCAAAGTGGTTGACCAAGGGACAACTGCCAAACTTTCTTTGGAGCTTTGAGTGACTCAAAGCAGTTTTTTTTTTTTTTTTTTTTTGCGGTACGCGGTACTGCATCGGCAGGCGGACTCAACCACTGTGCCACCAGGGAAGCCCCAAAGCAGATTTTTAATGAGTGAAATGGCCCTAGAGAGAAGCCCTCGCTTGAATTCAAGAGTTTCATGGAGGGAACTTTTTTTTTCTTTAGTTTTAGCAGTTATAAAAGCTTGTGGTTTTTTAAAGATTCAAGTTGTACAAGAGAGTAAAAAGATAAATCTCAGTCCCTCATTTTACTTCCCCAAGGGGAAGAAGTTAGAAGTTTTTGTGTGTCCCC